GTCCCCAGCCCATAAATCCTGCTCTTTTACCTTGTCCTTGGCTAAAGGGGCAAGGAGGGAGAATAATACAACTGTGTCTAGAAGGAGTGAAGTTTTATCTGTGGGACTGGGTGTACGAACTGTGTCTGCCTCCTCCATGCCGATGTCCCCAGAAACCTCCAGTGCCCACATGGGACCCTGCACTGGGAGGGATCTCAGTGGTGGCCAGTGGGAATGGCTGGATCTTGGAGCTTGTGACAGAAGAGGGAAAGTGAGAGAGAGGAGATAATTATGCCAAGGCTCTGTAATTACTTTTTGGCTCTCCACATGGCATATCACACAGGATCTTGGAAATGCTGGGTTCGGAGCTGGGCAGTGTGCTGCAAGACAAACGCTTCCAGCTGTTCCTCTGCAAGCACATCTCAGTAAGTGCCTCTCTGTGGCTTTTCAGGCAGGAATGTGTAGACCTACTTATTTAGGAAAAGAAAAAGATCCCAGCACTTCAAGCCTTCAGTATCCACCTTCATAATTAAAGTCTCTAATCACAAGCAGAGCGCGGTACTTGACAGCCTTCAGGGAGCTGTTTCTTAAGGTAGTTTTCCATTTTGCATTATTTCGCTCCGTGGTCAGGCCTGCCTCCAGGCCAGGGTTTACTTAACCTTAAGCTTGTGAACAGGCTTATTGAATTTGGCCAGGACTTGAATAATCTGTAATGAGCTCCAGGTTGTCTGTGTGCATTTGTGTAATGAGCTGACCCCGCACTGCCACCATCACATCCCATTCCTTCTCTGGCCTTTTGAGTTGTGCTCTGAGCAAGGGAAGCCTGCTCAGATACTTTCATCCCCACTGCTGGGGAGAGAAAAAGAGCAAGAAGTAAGCCCAAAGCACAGCTGGGATGGAGGGAGGAGGCCACTGCCTCTGCCTGGGGTCTCCATGGGAATCCCCAGTTGGCTTTGTAGTGCTTGGGGGTGAGGATGCTCATCCTGGAGCCTCTTCTGCCTAGTATGTTCTAGGTGTTGTTTTGTTGTTTGCTATTTCATTTTAATAAGGGCAACTGAAAGGATGTTAGGTGAGGTCTTTGCAACAAATAAAGCTTGCCAGAAATGGGTAACTTAGGGAATATACTCTTTTAAATTCAAAGAATGTGCTTAGATTTGCGTTGAGTTTACTGGAACGAGTTATATCTATGAAGATTTTTCTCCAAACACACAAGAAAAAAGATCAGAAAATGATGAAACATTTCACAGAGACATTGAAATGAAACACTGTGCCATGGAAATGTTAAAATGTTTCATCTAGATTCAAAATCCAATTTCTTTTTCCCTACAGTGACATTTTTCATTTGAAATAGACTCAAAATCTTCTTTTTTTTTTTTTAAAAAAAAAGGGAAAATAAATCAATTAGAATCCCAAAATGAGAATAAATCTTTTGAGGTTGAGCAAAATAGTTTGCCTTGAACCTAAAGCTTTTTAGTGTTTTAATTTATCAAACATCACAGAAGTAATTCAGACATTGGTTTAAGTCAATTTTTCCCCCTTCTCTTATTTACTTCAGCTCAGCCACTTGAGAAATCCATTATTTGCCTTCTTCTTATTGAGTATCTAATGATGTAAATAAATTGTTACTGCTTCTTATTGTTCTTTTCCCCTAAGGCTGAGACAGCACAAGGAAGGAATCGGCTTCTTTGCCTTGTAGCATGACACAGGGAAGATTGTTGATCCCCCTTCAATCCAGCCCACTGCAGACCAGCAGGAATCGGGCTCATTAAGGGCATGATTTAAAGGCTGTGGGGTCACATAAATTAACGGAGAGCAGAAATTTTGTCGTGAGTGATACAGGAGGAGGGAGGGGTACGGCTTGCATCTCACATGCCCAGCAGTTAGCTAAAGGGAAGAGATCCTCTTGCAAAAATTAAAAACCGATTATGCCTTGTTGGGAAATCAGAGAGCCAAATATAGACCCTATGGCGTTTCCTTCCCTCCTCCTTCCGAAGTGCAGCCTTTTGAAGTGCACTTTAAATGGGATGTGGATAATTGACTCCATGAACACCCGAGTGAGTGCTCTGTTGATTTAACCAATTGGTCTCAGTTGCTGATTCCTGTTTTGTTTTGGATGATTTTCAGCCCAATTGCCCCATTAGCTACAACTAGGACTGTTGATATGACTGACAAAGGGTGGCCAGGCTTGCCACAGTGGTGGGCACGATGACAGCCAGGAGATGTTCACAGCATGGTGCGCTTAGCTCTGAGTTGTGTGTAGGGAGTTGACTTAAATTGATGGTTGTTACCCAGCATGGCGTAAAACTGATCAAAAGGGACCTGCCTTCTGTTTTACAGGAGGGTGACTGACTGAAAAATGAGGCTAGCATAAGAAGTAACATTTGGATGAACTTTTCTTTAATAGAGGTAGAAAGCTCCGATCCTGTATAAAGGGGAAATTTTGAATTGCTGGGCTTCCTCTGTCCCACCAAAGCTGAGAGAAAAGGAAATAGAAGTGGGACAGAGCAGTTTGTGTATCCTGTGACTTTTTCAACAAATCTGTTGCTGTCATGTTCAAGTAACATCTGCCATTGTTTCGGGCTGTGTGCATATATACAGTCTCTGCCATCCAAGATTTACAGTTAGGTGAATGAAATGGGAAAGGGAACAGCAGGCAAATGAAAGGAGTGTGGGAAATCATTTGGCTCCTTAAGGTTGGCGGAGATTGGTTGCACCAATACTGTCCATTCATTGTGCTGATTGCAAATGCTAAGGTATTTCGTTCTGCACATGTCCTTAACTTTAAGGTATCTGATTGTGTTAATATGTTCTGGTTGTCTCAGAGGATGATAGCTAATAACACAGGGAGTTATTTGACCGTATCCCACCTAATTGTGTAAACTGGACCTGAGTACAGGTCTTTTTTTCTTTGTCTCTCAGAAACCTTAATACTAAGAGCTGTGTAGAAACTAGTGGGCGGGGGTTGCAGTTCAGATGTTTCCTGCTTCCTTTCTTCCTCTGCAGGTCAGATGAGGGACTGAAGGGTCTCAGAATCTCCCTTCGGCTGTGGCATGGCCAAAGTGGTTATACCGAAAACAGTCTGGTTATGTACTTGGCCTTTGATATGAAAAAGGAGACACAAAGGTTGTACCTGGTGATCTTTCAAGTCCCTTCCAGCCTGGGCTGTTCTGTGATTCAATTAATCAAGCTGCCTGCATCAGCTTGTCATTTAGTTGTATAGGCCCCAAGTCCATCTGGAAGACCCCAGTCAGAGATGGTCTATTCACAGAGAAGGAGATTGTGTCTGGTGAGGTTCTGCAAGGTTTTGGTTTGAGTTCTTTGGTGTTTTCCTTAAGCACTTGGATGATGGAAAAGGGAACGTGCAGGTTAAATGTGCTGCTTGGATCAGCTGATGGGATCTGGCTTCTAGGTGACTGCACACGTACTGGGGCAGTGGCATCAGCTGAGACAAACAAAGTCCTACAGCCTGTCAGAAACAGTTGGCTGTGCCAGTGCAGGATGGGGACTGTTCCAAATGGGTGAAAGGGCATGATAAAAGAAAAAAGGCAGATAACATAGAAGATGGGCAAGAGGGAGCAGCAAGTGCTTTAAACAGGGTGGTGATGGTTGGGCAGAAGGGAAAACCCGAGGCAGGAAAATATGAGAGTAAATCATCCCGAGAGCCTAGAGTCCATGGGAGATTTTCCAGATTGGTTGAGCAAACTTCTGTCAAGAGTGGTATAATTGTAGTTGATGCTGCTCTGAAGCATGAATTGGAGAAGGTCTGTCTATATACATGAGTCCTCAGGCTGAGTTGAATAGTTCCCCACCTCTTTTGTTTTAATAGCAAAACATTTCTATGAGGAGCGGATGAACAATTGTTTGACTGCAGACTGAGACTTTTCTTGAGGAGTTTGATAGAAGTTCTGCAGCCAGCACTTGTGCTGTGGGCACAAATTCCAGTTAAGATTGTACGGGCTTTGTCTGAAAAAAAGGTTTGGGTCTAGTCTTGCAGGAATGTACAACATACACAAATTCCCCCTTTGCAGCTTCTGTAGAAATAGTTTAAGTAGGCTTCTGTGAGGTCCGGAGGTCAGGGTGTTGCACTGAGCATATTCCCTTTAAGTCTCATCTGTAGCTTGTTCCTTGTGAAGATGACTGGAACTTCTAAAAGCCTGGCAGCAGGAGACCCATCCATGTTTGGGCAACACAATGAATGCAGATGTAGTAGGAAACTTTTGATTATCTATAGGTTTTTTCTGTGGCAACTTCAAAGCTCTGTGGTTAGTTATATTCTGACACTTTAAACGAACATGTCTTGTGTTCAGAACTCTTGATTAACTTTCCAGTCGAATCTATTGTCCAAACATCATTAGTGCTGCCTTTGAGGCATGGGACAGCTTTGATGGAGTCGTTTTTAAATTTCTGGCTGTCACCCTGCACAGCCATAAACAACATCCTGCCTGCTAATGAGAAAATTCAAGTTATTGCAGTCACATGTCTTGTGGAAATAAATTGTAGTGGCTGGAAGAAGAAATAAACCAGTTTTGCTCACCTCCCCCCACTGCAGTCACAAGCATTTGGAGTGCTTATATGGAGGAGATGTTTCCACAACAGAAGATACTCCGTTAAAAAGCAGCATTGCCTGCTGAAAATGAAGCTATTAATTTTGTAGATGTATCTTTAATTCCTTAACCTGCTTTCTAAGTTATCTTTACTACCCATAGGTTGTGATGGTCCTTGGTGGGCAGGTTTCATGGAAAGGTGCTGATGGCAGGACTTCCTATGGGGGAGCACAGCTGAGACGTGCTAGCAGTCCAATCACTGCTACTCAAGTCTTTGCCTGGCATTGGTACCCATTTAACCATGCTTACCTCTTCCCCCACTAAAAAAGTTGACATTCGCCATTTCAAACAACCACTGGAAACAGCCACTGCTCACACTTTTTTGGGGGTGAAGGGGCTGTCACCCAAGACTGAGTTGGCTCTCCCACCATGCGTGCAGTGGCTGAGATATTCCTCTTTCCCTCCCTGTGTTTGCAGAGCACGGCTTTGTTGGCTACTCTGAAGAGCTTTTATTTAACAACACGCTGCCAGACTACAGCCAGGGGGAGTCCTTCTTCACTGTTTTTGGAGTGTTTTTCCCAGCTGCCACAGGTACGGTGAGTTTTATCCTCCCCTCCACAGGCACATCTCCTGGGGAGATTCTCCAGGCTGCTTGTCAAGCCTATGGGTTGACATGATGGTGTTGTTTCCTCCCCTCCAAGGATTAGGCAATCTTGGCCAATGCTTTGAGGCCACAGGGTTCCAAGCTTTTTTAATTGTGATGATCAATGATTCACATTGCTAGATAAGCCTTGCAATGAGATTGTGCTGGATGGGAGGGAAAGGGATGGGAGGACTCTTGGTGGCTGAGCTGGGCTGGTTCCAGCACCCAGGATGCTGACCTACTGCTCTCTGCACTGCCCACACAGCAGGACTCATGTTCATTAAGTGTAACTTCATGCTTTTATGTCATTCCTTCCCTTAAATTAAGAGGAAGATCGATGTCCCCTCTCCACAGCTGGTACTCTCCAGTGGGAATGAAATAGCTATCAGTTGGAGTTAAAATACCTTTTGTTGATGCTGTTTTTTAAGCAATAAAAAGTACCGATCATGAGCAGTTTCCATAGCAATGAATCCTTGGATTATAGGATGAATTTGCAGAGGATTAACTCTAAGCAACTTACTGAAAGTTGTTAGTGGAATTGCTGCGGTACAGAGAGAGAAACTGAAAGGTTTTGTCAAGCAGATGAGCTGGAGAAATAATCTAGCAGAATCACTTTGTCAGGTGTACCTAGAGCCCAATTTTTCTTTTGAAATCCTCTCTCCCAGCTTACCAGGCTGGTTGTTGCCTCCAGGTAGGCTTCCTTCTGAAAAATTTCCTTGCCCAAACTGTTGGCACCATGGAGCAGTTGGCTGCTGCCCTCTTCCTTATTGCTTTGGTCTTACCCACGCAAGTCTCCCGGCTGCAGAAGGAGCCCTTCTTCAGAGTCCTGCCTCTGATTCAGGAAAGCGGGATTTTCCAGTTCCCTGATCACAGAAGAAGGAACAGTTATGACAAAGCTGTGCAGAAAATTGCCATGATTAACCATATTAAATGGTTCTTCATCACTGCTAATACCTGGCTGCTAGGATGAAGGCCAAAACTAACAGATATAATTTATTTGAAGTCCTAGCAGCATGTTGCATTATTAGTTAGCGGTTGTAACACCAGTAGTAATGTTAAATATTCTCTAAAAACACGTTTGGGCTGATGTATAATTACTTTGGTTACTGCGGATGTTTTTCATGTGTTCTTTTTTATTGTTTAGTTATTTACAGGATTTAAATGGTTGCTTTGGAGCAGCGATGCCAGTGGTACCATATAACACCACCATTGTTCCTGTTATTGCTGTTTATAGCACCACAGTGCTTAGGAGCCTCGTGAAAGAAAACGTAATGCTACATGGGAGAACTTGTGATCTGATTAAAAAAGATTAAGAAGGCAAGAGATGGGAGTCAAGGCTTTTCTGTTCCAAATCACAGCTGAGAGCCCTGTGCAACTTCAGAGCTCCCATCTCCAAGAGCTGGTGCGATGTCTTAGCCTGAATCCTCACCCAAAATGGAGGCTCAGTACTGCAGAGGGGATGCCAGCTTTCCCGGTGCCCCACATTCTGCAGACAAATGCTGCCCACTGCATTGCAGGCAGGAGGACAGGAGGGTGCTCCTCCCTGCCTGGCAGCAGGCCCAGCAGCACAGGCGGTCTGCAGGCTTCCAGGTGACATTGCAGGGATAGTTTTGGCAGCAGCATTAATAGCAGGCTGGAGAGATGCCACACAATTGCCAAGCCTCTTCTGCAGGGCAGAAAAGAAAGGAATGGCAAGGATGCATGAATGTCACCCCCAGCTGCACCTCTGCTTTATCCTCCTGAACCATTCCCTGCACCATCCCTAAGCAGTTTCTGCTTCTTCTGGAACCCCCTTGGTGATGTGGACAAAGCATTGGCAGCACAATCCCGTGCATTAAGTTTTTCAATTCAAGGAAAGTTTCAGCCAAGCAATTTGCTGTTCAGTGTGGGGGGCTGCTTTGAGCCACTTTGAAAAACTAATTTGACCCAAAATGATATTTGGTTTAGCTTTTATTATTGAATGTTTTGTTTATTCTTTTTAATTTTTAGCATACGTTGATTCGCAATTTAAGATGCTGTTCTAATAACAAAGGTTTTTTAAAAAGTGTTTAGGAAATTGTGAAACGAGATGTTTGGGCCCTTCTGAGATGAAGTGTTCCTTTTTGAAGTGAAACTATTTTGATATTCTCAGGATAAACTCTTTATTCTCCCTTTCCAATTGTTATCTGAATTCAACTGATTTCAGTTAAATAATAAATATTTCCTAATATCCAACCTGAACCTCCCCTGGCACAGCTTGAAGCCATCACCTCAGCTCCCCATCTAAGCAGGGATGTGCATGACAAAGGAGGCTCAGCAGCTGCGTGCCCACAGAAATGCATGCAATTGTTCAGCAGCCACACAACTGCCAGTGCAGCTTCAAGATGAAGTTAAGCATTAGTGTTGTGCAGGGAATGATTTTCTTTCTACCAGATTCCAAAGGTTTTCAGCTTAATGAAAGAAGTGTGTTATTGTGTGATACGATAAAGTAAGATGATGTTTGAGCAGCATTACTGGAAAATGTCATTGTGCTGACACCAGTTCTGAAATAAACCATATTTGGCACTTGCAAAATGACAGCAAATAGATTTAGAAGTTTTGGGCTAAGTTATCAGATGATGTAAACTGGCACAACTCCACTGGAGTCTGTGGAGAGATGCCAGCTTACATCAGTGGAGAATTTGGCCCTTTTAAACAATCAGCTGCAATTCCAATCTCAGATTTTCCATTCTTCATCTCTTGGTTGAAGGAAAAAAGAAAAAAAAAAAGCCAACAAACTAAACACCACAAACTTTCGCATTTTATAGTAATTTTTCTGGAAAATGCAATACAATGGCAGTTTGCAGGCAGTCGTATCTACAGTTATAAACCATAGCTAGTAGAGCTGTAAGCCAGGGTTGGTGGAGCTGATGCTTATGTCTAATGTACAGTGTAGGTGGTCTCTTCATGCACGTATCCACTGCCTGGATGATTCCCAGGTCAGGATTACGCTGGGAATAGCAGCAATGTACAGACTGTCTCAGCCATAATTTCCTGGCTGAGCTGACTGTGTTTTCATGCTTCCTTGTCCAGCAGCTTTGTCATTATCTGCCGCTCTCTGAGATAATAGCTAGTGTGGAAAATCCAGCCTGCTATCTCGTTGAAACAGAGAGGTGGATAATTTTCTCTGTGGACAATCTGCAGATAGGATTGCTTGAGTTCAAAAGGGATTGGCCATTTCCTTGTGGAATAGATCTGTCTGGAGGATGAAATGTCCCAACTTCTCTGCTTGGTTGGATTTTGTGTGCAAGTGCACGTATTTTTGTTCTCTTTAGTAGCTAGTCTTGCAAACCAGCCCAGCTCACTCTTTGGCAAGGGTTGACCAAAGCTATTGATAGTGGAGTTTGTTCAATTTCTTTTATTTTAATTTGTTAGAAAGGAATTGGGTTGTCCTTTTGTCCTTTCATTGAGAAGTGGGATGGTTAGTTTGCTGCTTGCACAAGGTCTTCTCAGTTCCACTCTTCAGCAGCTGGCACCCTATCTGGTTAATTTCTTTTTGGCTGGTGGTAGAGAGATGACTTTGACATTGTCTGTACTTCTGTACAAGAAGATTCTCAAGTCTGGGAGTAGTCAGCATGGAGGAGGCAGATGTTCTCAGCCACTCAGACCAATGCTATTTTGGATCTTGTAGTGGTGACTGGCCTTTGTCAAAGGAGGCTGTGACACTCTGGTGACCTTGGAGGTTCTGCACTGGTCTGGATCTGACCCCTAACCATGAGATCAGTCATTGATCTTGGTGTATATAGGCTCTGGCAGGCCATTTTGGGCTGTACCTTATTATGTGTGAATATGTGCAAGGGAGGCAGTGGGGTAGTCAAGGCCCTGCAGTTATCAGTGCACAAGTGACTTCACACCTTCAATTTTTTTCATAGTTGGTCCAGAGAAACATCATATTGGTGTTTCCCCAGTGCTTTGCTGAGGTAACAGCTTGATTGAGGAGGAGGTGAGTCAAGCTTGAGCTGGAAGATACAGAAGTGGTGCCAAGTGTTAGGGAAACTTGGCCAAGAGACACACTGGATTAGCAGCTGTCCTTCTGACAACAGCTTGCTCCCTTTGGAAGAAAAATGCAGGGTATTCTGCATTTTCTGCTTTACCCCTGAAATGCAGAATAGCATGTCACTGAGGAGTGCCTCATGGATGCTCCATGTAGTATGATGTTTTCGGCTGTTCCTATAGACTTCTGCCTTCCTACATTTTCTGACCTCCAGCTAAGCCTATTGTATAACTCATGAAAAAGGAACAGTGCTTGAACAGCACTTGGAAACTTTATCTGGGGAAAAGTACACCAGCTGATGGGCTTTTACCAGTGCTACACAGAACTACATCCACAGAGCAGTCTTCCAGGAGAAAATGAGCAACTTGGTTTGATTTTTAAAGTAAGTCTCAGGGATTTGAATCTGATCTGAATCTGGAAGACGGCTTCTCTGGAAGCAAAGTGCCAGGGCACCGAGGTTCTGGTGGAGAGAATGATAGAAAGAGATGGCTGCTGGGTGGGCCTGAGATGATCAAGGGGAAGAAAAAGAAAATAAGTGCTGGATGCTTAGCTGGTGTGTTTAGCAGCATGTGAGTGCCTTGTGCTCATTAGCGTGCCGAGAGAAAGTGTTACAATTCCCACTTAGCAGATGGGGCCATGGAGCAATGAAAACATGTAGGAAAGCCCAGGACAGAGCAGGCAGATGAGCTGCTGATCCCTGATTAGCAACAACCATGGCTCCCTGGTGGCCATCCATCTGTAGCCCTGCAAGGCCTTTAGAGAAGACATCCATCTGGCTGAGCTGGGATTTATCTGCTGTGCTGCAGGATTTGTTGTGAAACTGACTGTCCTTTGCTGAGAAAATTCTCCCAAAATGGGACAGAGATGGGCAAGAATGAGTGTCTTAGGGAGGCTCTTGTACTGCCTTCAGATTGTCTGAATTCTCATTGGAATTCTAAGTCAAGCATTTAATTTACTTATAGCAGATATCTCAAATATTCTGGGAGAAATTTGGGAATAATTTAATGAGAAAAGATGCACTTTTTTGCCAAGTCTGGCATGACTCTCTTCAAATGTGAGTAAAGTCTCTTAACTCTTTTTAGGCTGGGGTTCCCAGCCCTAAGACAGAGTTGTCAATCCTTTGATCCTTCTTGTTTGCCTTTCTTGCAACTTTTGATGGTGATTTGTTAAGCTGAGGACTGTCACTGGTCATGCAATACCCTGTGCTCTGGCCTAAAATGATATTCCAGTGCTTATTGTTCTGCAGGTGTTTTCTGTGATGCTTGGGCAATCACTTACCTGCTCAATGCTTCCATTTCCTTATCTGCACAGCAGAGATAATGCCAGTCCAGAGCCTTGAGTGATGCTTGCAGAGAAGAGCCCAATGCTGGAAACTGCCACCTACGTGCATATTCCAATTCTCTCTGCTAAATGCATGGGGTAGTCATTGAACACAGACATTAAACGCTGCATTAGTGGTTGTCCTTTGTGAATGCAGACACCTGCAATTGATCTGCTCTGACTGACTGGGGCTGGTGGGACAGGACAGCCTGCTGAATGCAAGCTTGTGATGAACAGTAGCATTTTTCTTTCCAACAATCTAATGACACTGTTTTCTATCATGTTTGCATTAAGATAAGATGGGTTTTGTTGGATTTCTGCTTCTTCACACACCCCTCCCCCCAGTATTGTTCAAAATGGACAAAGAGTTCTTTGTAGATGCGGTAGCAGTTGCTCATTTCCCTTGAGACAGGAGCAGTTACTTACCAAGCAGTCAATGGGAGGCAGTAACCCTACACGTGGCAGTGCAGTGAAATGATCTAGTTAAAGTTCTGAAGTAATCGATGAAGTGACTGATTAAATTATGTTGTATATTGGAATATATGTCACGGATGCTATAACTTGGATTAACTCTAAATTGTATTTATGTCTACAAAATATAGGTGTGATGGCTGGGTTCAATATGAGTGGAGATCTCCAGAAGCCTGCTACCAACATTCCCCTGGGGTCTCTGGCTGCTATTGGCACCTCGTAAGTAATAGGCTGGGGAAAATTTACTATTTGGAGCCTGCCCTGGATGTGACCAATCCATTTCATATTCCCATCAACCTTTTATTACTCAGCCATCTGGAAAATTAACGTCTGGCTCTCATTCAAATTCTCATCCATTACCACCACCTACTCTGGGTGGATTGGAGAGGAGATCCGTTCAGTGGATACAGAGTAAGTCCTTCCTCACTGTTCAGCTTCCTCTGTTGGATGGGATGTGTGTTCGTGCTAGAGGGGTTATGCCACTGCAGCCTGGCTGTCCCCAAGCGGCTTGCAAAGTTCTTGAAGGCCTGTGACACGTGGTTTTGTCACTTATTGCTGCTGATTTCAAAGCACTGTCTTTGGAAAAAAAAGAAAATGTAATTGTTCTTATTGGGGAAAATGAGGCTAAGAGTGGTGAAATGATGAAATGACCGGTGTGACTGCAAGGCCGGGGGAGCAGAGCTCTCCCCCTGAGAAATGCTGCTTTCCAGAAGTAATGCAATGTTATGTGTTAAAAAGTACCTCAGTAGCTCCTTTCCTGCTTTCATTGCCGATTAAGCTACTTCTGAAAATATTATATTAATTGCATACCCAGCTTGAGGCAGAAAGGAGGGATCTTCTGGACATTGTTGAATTCCTACTGCAGCTGGTGCTTTTTGTTTTAGAGCAGGGAATTCACACCTCTGCTGCCTGAACTTTGCAGGCAACCTGGCTTATCTCTCCAGTGGAACAGCCACAGATATCCAAGGAGGATCGTGACAGAGGTGATAAACCTGGCACTGCCCCCTGAAAGAGGGGACTTGCATACAGCATGGCTGGATCATTCCCCTGTGTGCATATCAAGGACATATAGATTCCTTACCTCAGGGGAACTGTACTGTCATGCTGTGGCTGTGATTTACTGTCCCCACTGTGCTGTGATGGGCACGTAATGAGTATGGTGGTGACATCCTGCCATGCAGAGCCAGCCAGTACAGAATGATTGAAAACCCAGCTTACAGGCACACGGACTTCTTTTGCCTCTGCTGGTGGGCACTGTTCTCACTGGTCTTGTCTGGCTGGAGAAAATGATTTGGTTTTGTTGTTTGCAGGTGGTTTCTCTACATGGTCTTCGTCTTTTTGCTAGGAGCCATTTGCACCCGTCAGTCTCTCCGCTACGACTTCATGATAGCAGAGAAGGTAACTTGATTTTGTGTATTGTATGGGAACTGCTGAGTCACGGCCTGAACCTCTGATTGATCACCTGAGGTGAGCCATGAGTCAGCCAGAGGAGCACAGCTGAAGGCAATTCACCTGTGCTGCTGGAAGGGGTGGAGCCTGGCTGCACCCCTCCTAGACCTATTTAAGAGCTGGCTACCAGAGGGGAAGGATCTCTTCTGGAGATCCCCTCTTTTGGTGTCTTCTGGTGAGCTCAACCAAAGGGTAAGCTCTTCCACTTATTCTCTTTTTGTTATCGTTGTCTGCTTTGCCTTACTCTCTTGATTATATTGTGATTATAACATCTTGGTTATACATGTATAAAAAGATGTTATATGATGGGGCTTTTAGCCTGGGGAGCTTCTTTGTCATTGTATGCTTGAGCTTTTCCAAAATCCTGAGATTTGGGTGCACATCTCTCATTGACATTCAAGGGATCTTTCCCATGCACGTACCAGTGTATAATTGATTTGAATATCTTTGCATTCACCAGCATATCCAATAATGCTGAATCGTGGCATAATCACTCAGCAGATACCTTTAAGAGCTACAGTATGCTAATATGGTCTAGTGAGAAATGCTGTCTTTTATTGAATGTATCCTTTCTCATTGGTGGAAGTTTGGGCCAAATTGAAATCTCTAAAGAACTCCACTGCTTATCTGTACTAAGTCAAGCAAGGCTGACGGTCTCATATGACCCAGACTGTAATTGCAGTGTGAGCAGTTGGATTAGAGAACTTGAGACGTTCCATGATGGTGTGTGTGAATGAAGGAGAGTTGTAGGGTTACGTGCAATGAACCCAGGCATGCAGGCCATTGAAAGAAGAGCAAAGATGTCGGTGTGCCTCTCTGTCTTACTCTAGATGGCATATGGAAGGGCTAATTTCCTATTATTCAGCATTATACTATATGATATCTGACACTGTTTTGTGGTTATTTTTTGAGATGTTATCTATCAGTTTAATTTATAACACTTTAATCTAAAATGTCAGTTTGAGACTTTGGCTTTGTTTTCTCTCCAAGTAACTGTAGCCTTAGATATCCTCCAGTCCCCAAAGTAACCTTCAAATTAATGGTGGGACTCCTGTGACTTCCTGCTAAGGTGAAACATCATCTCTATTTCAGGGAAAAAAGAATGGGTTTACCTTTAACGCAATGCTTTTGTTAAGTAAATGTGACAGATGTAGCGGATGGAAAGTATGGTAATGAAACAGTACCTGTAACTGAACCAGCTGAAGAGAGAGAGATTTTTGAATGTGTTTTAACTTCAAAACCCTCCATGGGGAAAAGCTGTAATGTCTCCCAGGAGATGAATCTGAAGATATTTAACGCTGTTAAATATAAAAAAAAATAAACAGACCCCCCCAAAACAAAGCAAACTCCCTTCAGTGGAACAATCCAAACACTCATTTGGCTTCTCTGAGTGGCTACAAGCAAGCCTGTGTGTTGGAATGACTTTGGAGAGAGAACGCGATCGTTGCGCACTGAACATTCCAGCTCCCCATTTCTGGCAGGTGCAGGTGAGCAAGTGGCTGCTTTTGTGCCCCATGGTGCTTGTTTGGCTTTGCAAACACAGAAATGAGATTCACTGATTTCCCTTCTTAATGAGCCAGAAGTGCCAATTTCTTACTGAGTATTCGTACTCTCCGTTGGTACTTAAAACCAACAGCAAAACCTTTCATCAGCTTCAGTGAAAGGGACTCTTCCCCTCTAACCCTGATTTGAATGTCAAGTAGTGCATTTAAATGCAAGCTTTTTTGGCAGCTAAAGTAATATATGATGTCTGGCACTACTGATTGTTTCTGCCAAGTGTTTCCCAAACCAGACCAGTTCTTGGGGGGGGGGGGGGGGGGGGGATTTCTGCTTGTCAGGCTCCTGCAGCCAGGGTCTGCCCATTTGTCTGATGGAAGCTGATAGCTGCTAATCGTCCCCTCAAGTTGTTCTGCCCCACAAGATAAAATTCCCAGAGCAAGTGGATTTGCATGGGGAGAAGCAACACTGTTGTTTGAGTGGTAGGAGTCCGGTACGGTTCTAAAATACATCTGGCAAACACAGTGAAAACAAGTATTCCCACAGAAAACTGTGCTAAAACCCTGTTATTAGCAAGCCAAGAGAATAACCCTCAAATCTCTGAATAGACAATTTGTGTTTCAGCTTGTAGAAGCTGCCCATAACTATAGGGTTAGCGAGGATGTCTCTTTGCTTGAGAAAGGTTGGGCTTCAGCTGGCCTTGGCTCAGTGTTTGGGGGCTGGGAGCTGTGCCTGGCCCACAGCTTGCTGCCTACACGTAGTGCTGCCCAGCTGGACTGCCAGCTCGAGGAGGTGTTGGCTAGCAAAGGGCAATAAAACCACCTGTAGTAAGCAGCACTGTGGCTTTAAAGGTTTTGAAGTTTTGTGCATACCGGAGGAAATTCTTTGCTCATTGAAGACAGGAAAAAAAGGTCATTGTATTATATCCTTTGGAGCATGTTTTTTATGATGCTATTTGCTTAAGTGGCAAGTTTGATTTGGTTTTACTGCGGATTTTCTTTCAGGATTGGTTTTCCCCTCTGGGATGCAGGGGTTTGTCTTCCTGTTTTGGATGGTTGGAAGCCTGGGTAGCTTTTCCTGTATGGTGTGCTCTGTATATAAGTGATCTCTCCTGAAATAAACTCACTTGCAGTTACTTAAGTGGAATCTAATAGCTGCTGCTTTGCTGCAATTGCTCCGAGTGACAAAGACTTTCTTGGATATGAGTTTGTCAAATGGCTCTGTTGATACAGGATGTTCAGTATTAAATTACTTTTATGGGGTAATTTTCCTGTATTAATTACTTGCACTTTATACCACAGACCAGTTAAATTGCTGCCTTTTCCACTTAGATCATTCTGCAATGTTATAAAATATAGAGGATCTGTGAAAATGCACATTTAAAATCACTTGTGGGTCTTTGAAAAACAAAGTAATTGACTTTGCCTTCTCTCTGCTTCCTCCAGGTATCTTTGGTGGGTTTCTTGTTTCTGCTAGGGCTGTACATCTCATCCCTGGCCTCCTGCATGGGGGGGCTCTACGGGGCGCCCCGAATCCTGCAGTGCATCGCCCAGGAGAACGTGGTCCCCATGCTCGCCTTCCTTGGACGTGGGGTTAGTGACCCTTCCTGTGAAGTTACTGTGAAAGCTAACCTGAAGGGAAGCTGTTGATACAATGAGTATTTCTGGCATGGGGTCTGTGCTCCCTGTCTCAGCTGTGCCCCTGTCCTAGAGCCGTTTGGCCCTTCTGCACACATGGACGGCTCTTTCTGGACTGTGTGACCTCCTTCCTTGATCCCACTTCTTTTGAGACATCTCCAGGAAGACAACTGCTTGAGATACAACTTTGAGTGTGATTTGCTGGTGGTTTTTTTTGCAAACACTTTATCTAAACCCATGCTGTCATAGTTGTGACTGAGGCACTTGACTCTTCTCTGCCCTCCCTTTCAGGGCAGAAGTCTAAAGTTTTGTCCAAGCACCCTAATTGAATGGATGGTAGCTTCCTCTTTTTCTTTTATTTTTCTTCTTTCCTGCCCTTTTTCCTTGAGATCTTCCTATGTTCTTTGGTGACATGGTAGCTGAGTACTAATTGCAGTGCAGTGGATTCTGTTTCTGCACCTGGGAGAAAAGGGTGAGGTACCTTTTGGACTCTGTGAAGATAATAGAGAGAATACATTTGGAAGGTTAATTTAGAGGGCTGCTTTTAAACAAAGCCTTGCTTTGAATTTGGCAAGAAGCTTTTTCCTTGTCCTAGTAAGTAATCCTCATTCACATGAGTTGTTTCACTGAGAACAGTCAAAGCATCAGCCAATAAGGATTGTGTAGTCATGGGCTATGCATGTAGATCAAAGTATTTCATATGGATTTTCATTTTTCTAAAGAGGGAGAAAAAAATTTCCCTTGCTCTAAATAACCTACAGCACCTAACTGCAGCGAGCAGCTGGGAGAACCTTAAGGTGGTTTTGCTTCTTCAGAGCAGCCTTATAAATGAAGAACAAATATTGCACAATGTAGAAATTTAAGAATATTTTAAAATATCTTCATTTTAGAAGCATAATGGTTTCCTGTATTTTATATTTCTCGGTGTAATTCTTGAAAAATAAGACAATAATAACAGAAATAAGAATAATAGAAATAACTACGGGAGAAGCAGGAATCGTAACAACAGCAAAACCTTCCAGCTACTGAGGGCAGTTGTCAGGCAATCCCAGAACAGACTGTTCTCCACGTGGCAATGCTTGCCAAACTGTCAGTCATTTAGTCCAAGGGCTGCAAAGTTGATTCCCTCTCTTCTCCGGCAGTATTCTGTCTTTTTGTAGTGTTTTCTGCTCTGAACACTGGGCAGAGTGCCTCAATGTGAAATGCTCAGAAGGAGGTAAGAAATTAAAGGCAGATCACCTTCCCCTTCCTTCTCTCTGCTACCTTGAAAATTGTCTAGATTTGGTTCTTGGAGAGTTAATAAGTGTAGTTTGCCCTTAACAGTCTGTTCCACATCAGTTCTTCTTTTCCATGGTTTAGGAAAGTGTTGTAGGCAACATAACCCCAGTTAATGTGAAGGACACTATTGTTTTCTGTAGCGTTAAACCTAAGCCAGAGGCATCCTGAGATCGTACCATCTGTTCCCTATCTCAGTAAGTCTTTCTAATACCTAAGATGCTTTCTGAGAACCGAGTTCATTTATCCCGGAGACATATTTCTCATTTCATTGTGAAAAGGCGTAAGGTCCCCTTTTCTATTAATAAGTAAGCGTGGAGAAAATAGAAATAGTTTCCATTTGAGCTATGTGTTTATTAGAGAAGAACATGCAGTAAATGAAAATGTAGGATGGAAAATGTTCCCCGTCTCGTGCTGTTGTTGGTGTAAAGGAGCTGGAAGAGCACCTTTCAGCTCATCTCTGAGGTGCCTCCTCTCGGCTGTGAGCTGCTGGAAAAACACCCAAACTGCAAGACTTTTAGAAATGGAGCTTGTTTTCCAGCAGTAGCCCATGTGGGACAAACCACATCTCAAAAGGGCCTTCACAGCAGCTCTGATGGGCAGTTAGCATCGTGTCGGCTCACTCTTTAGCAGTGATCGAAGAAGGGCGTACTGGACCTGAGATTAAAATTTGTGAGAAGCCTTTTGAGCAGACAGCAATGAAGGGCCCTGTAGAGAAATTAGAAATGAACAGTTAAGTGTAATTAACATGTTTTATTGCCTGAACACAGCCCAAGCTTCCCATAGGCTCCACAAATCTTTCTGAAGGTTTATTGCTGCTTTAATATTTTACCATGGAGATATAGAGTGAGACTGGATGAATTTTCCAAAGACAAAGATTGAGGAAGGATCAGAGGTGAGGTGGGAACTCAGCAGTTCTTGGCTTCCAGTCTGTCCTTTAATTTATTAAGCCAGTGAACCTCTGCTGTGCACACGTGGAGGTACGTTTCATGACTAACGGGGTACCTGCAGACTGCTGGGATATTCATGTGTTACATCTGAGCTGGGGGGATCCTCACAAGTCTTAATTTAAATAATTTTCTCTTATTGATGCAATAGAAAGGACCCAACAAGACTCCAGTAGCTGCAATTTGCTTAACAAGTCTCATCACCATGGCTTTCGTCTTCATTGGGCAAGTGAACGTTCTTGCTCCGATAGTCACCATCAACTTCATGTTGACATATATTGCTGTAGACTACTCCTATTTCTCGATCTCCTTGAGCTACGACGTTCAGCAAAAACCTGGCAAGGCACTGATGGAAAACACTAAGCCTCCTCACTCTTCCCAGCCCTTGATTTTTAACAGGCCCTCCTGCCATGCATCAGATGGAGTAATTCAAAGCAGATCGAATGGTACCTTGCTGGAATTCAGAAAAGACATGGACCAGCTTTTTAAACCATTTTGTGATGAGCCAGATGCTGGCAAAAAGGAAGGAGCTGAGAATCTCCTGCAAAAAGTCAAACAGAAAAAAGCAAAGAAGCCAGCCAAGCAAATGTTACAAGACAGCTTTCTTCTGGATCTTGATCACGATGCTCCTCCAACTCAGTGTGGTTGGGATGAGACCATGGAGCCCCCACCCAAAAGCCAGCAGTGTGAGGTGGAATCGTGCTGGGCACTGCCTGCTGTGGATCACTGGGGGCCACCTGAGCACGGGGAGCAGCTGTGCAGCAAGGCACCAGAGGTCTCAGGTCGTGGGATGGGAGGTGAGGGCTGCAGGAAAGGGACTCACAGGGAATGATTTACGGCCTTGGTCCTCCTGGAGGCAGGCGAGAAACTAGCTTTATATGGGACTGTCATTGGGTGATTCATAGCAATAATATCTTTTATTACAGGTGAGGATAGAGTTCATTGTAATGAATCACAGGAGAAGTTCCAGTGTAATTTCCTATGGAAGATTAATCACAGGAAAGCAGGCAGGACTGTATTTAGTGTAGGGTTGTTTACTGCATGCTCGTTATTCTACAAATGTGCTCTTAATGCTGTGCATTAAAAAGGTTTTGAGTATTATCTTGGGGCTTATTTTGCCATGATGTTGGGTAGGAGGGTAGGAGGAATGGATTTTTGCAAGCCTAAAGCTCTAGCTATCAAAATGAAATGATCCCCATGCTGCAGGAGGAGGCTGTAATTCGTCATCCGCAGCTAAGAATCTGAATTCATTTTGTTGGCACTGTGGGTATTTAATACTGTTTACAGTGGGGGCTGTTGTCTCAGATCAGTAATCTTCTATCAATGTTAGCCAATTAAATGTTATATCTTTCTTCTTTTACAAATACAGAAACTGTGCCTTGCTTTCCATCACATACGATGACGTATGTGTGAACTTAAAATGGCCTCAATACCAGAGCTGTAAACTCCTTTGTTTCTTTTCTTTTTTTCCCTTCCTGCTTGGTTTTTTTTTTTTTTTTTTTTTTTTTGCTTTCATTTTAGAAGTTATGTCTAAACTCCGCCATGCCCAGCTGTCAGATAGAATTTCTGTTTTGGTTTCTGCAATCTGGTAATGTGAAGTAGAAAAAGACTGACACACCAGCTCCTTTATAATATCTCTCTCCCTTTCTTCGTATGCTCCAGAATCATCTACAAGGCAGCAAAATCTAGAGCTGGAAATTCAGCAAATTCAAAAATCCTTCTACTCCAAATTCTGCAATTACTGGGTTTCCTTTGCTGGTGTAAGTAATTTTATTTTGAGCATTGGTTTGTGTTTGTAAAACATGGAAGGAAGTTCATCACTTAATGCGGTGCAAATACACTACAGTATTTTAAAATGGCTTTTGTGTTTCCCCGCTTACCTGAACTAAATACTTGCAGGAATATGCATCCCTAGTTCAAATTATAAGAAAGGCAGATGACATTATTTAAAAGAGCTAAAACAAACAAACACAGAAGATCCAAATTCAAAGTCTGTCGTCTTAGAACTTTTCTAGAGTTAGAGATGTGGGGCTGATGGGGGAAAAAACATCAGATCCCTCTTTTCACAATATTCCAGCCTGCTGTGGGATGGACTGAGACATCAGCTTCAGAGCTGTATTATTCTTATTTATGAAACAGTTGATGCTACCTTAGGGTAGGATTTCATTAGTGCTGAACTCCTGATCGGAGCAGCCTGACTGTGAAATTCCACATTTTGAGGGAGAAAAACAGAGTGTTCCCCAGCATGTTACTTTCAAGAATAAATAACTTCTAAATAGCTTCTGCCTGAAGCCACTGAGAAGATTTAAATTCATCTTGGGAAGATGGATTAATGGGCAGATGACAGGAGAAGGGTCAGATATGCATAATGAATGAACCATATGGCTTTTCTTCATGGATGGGGATTACATAGCTGTATGTAAAATATAACAAACACCTTTAAACAACACACAAATGCCTTCTAATTTAATGCTTAGATTGACTTTGACACCCACTTTCCAGATGTGCTGATCGGGCTTCCAGTAGCCAACTACTGGAGACAGGTCCTGCAGGTGGGTGGGTGGGATGGATGCTGGAGGCTGCTCTCCAGTGGTGAAATCTGTGGGAGGTTGTACACCAATGCACTTTCTGGGCTCAGTAATTAACAGAGCTTCGAAGTGCTTGTCATCATCTTGAGCAGTAATAATAATAATAATGGATATGTGGCCAGAAACTGCTCATCATGGAGTGTTTCCGAGGTAGGAGATGATGTGGTTCCCTAGAGGGCCTGTTGCACCAGGAATGTCCATCCACCCATGTTATTGCCCCATCAAACCTTGCCTTGAGCACCTCCAGAGGTGAGCTCAGGCAGTGTTGATTACGTCCCCATCCCTGAGCAGACACCTAAAAAGAAATGCTCAGCAGGGTGATGCTGTCACATTGACAGCAGTGCACTGTCTCACTTGGAGTGACCCCAAGCCTTGTCTTTTCAATAGGCAATTGTGTCCCTCATCATAATGTTTGTCATTCAGTGGATCTACACCCTTGTCAGCCTGGGGGCAGCGGTGGTTCTGTATTTCTACATCGGCCAAGTGAGTCCAGGACTCCCCCTGGGTGAGTTATGTGTTCTTTGTATTATTAAATCTGCTTAAAAATTCATTAAGCTTTAATTTCACTTGATTACGAATTGAGAGACTATGCAGTTGGCACTAGGAAGGATTAGGTTTTGTTTCTTTGTTAGTTTCAATGCATTTTACATGTAGCTCTTCCATATTTGATTCTAACTGTAGCAAACACTAGCTTGGTAGTTTGAATATTGTGCTACTTGTGATAATTTTTGTACTAGAAACGGCCAAATCAGACACTAAGAGTTAGGAAGGATTGCAGATTGCAAATGTATGATGGCAATGAGAAAAATCTGTTGTAAATACTTTTTAATAAAGTTAATTAATTGATCTAAACCCACCTGAGAAAACTTTAATGAAAATGGGAATTATGACAAGTTTCTCATTAAATCTCAGCATTCAAAACTGCAAAACAAGAGAGCCTTTTGATTCCAGATCTCAACAGGTTGAATATGTCAGGAATGTAATCTGGGAAAATATTCTTAGGCAAAAGGCTTTAAAAAGGTTTGTGCATGTGATAGGCTTAAACAAGTTCAAAATTAAACAGTATAGCACATTGAGAAAGCAGCTCAGGAGAGTCTATAGCTCCTTGGCACAGGGGCAGGAGAGATTTGCATTTGTCTGCCTCTCTAAAGGGAGAGGGTGATACATGCACAGCATGTGTCTGCTCACATACATACGTATGTGGGTGCAAATTTGTATGAGAGTAAATGGTGCAAATTGTATGGATGTGCTATTTTTTGTTTTGCACCTATGAAAACCTAGGTAAGAGAAGACAAAAGAGCCTGAGTTCATGTGTCATTTAAACAATTCAGAGATAGCCACCTCTATTTATCTAGATGAAAAGTTATTGTAAGTAGATACCAAATTTCAGAAACCCACACTGGGAGAAGCCAAAAATTAGTTATTATTCACTAACCATCAATCTATCACTCACTAACCTTTACACTACCACTGATTTCTATTTATCTGTATGGAAGAGTGGAGAAGAAATGAGATAGTTTTATGCAACCTGCTCTAGAGTAAGGTGTCCCTTCTCTTGGCAGGGGCACGGAACTAGATGGCAAAGAAGTCAGAAATAAACAGATTTCAGCCTGATTTTTATTTGATTGTGACTGAAAGTTATCTTGTGGCCACACTACATCAACTGCTCCATGAGCTTGCTCTCCAAAGACAGAATGACCCTTCCATGTCGAGAGGCTGTGAGATGCTGGTTGAGTGATGCTTTGGATTAGGGACTAGATGAAGGCCTTGGGAGTGGTAGCTCTGCCACAAGAATGCTCCAAGATTTCAACACATCCTTCCTCTTTTCTCTTGGCCTCCAGCAGCCTAAGCCAAATCCAACAAGCTCTGCTGGGTCTCTGTTCTCCTCCCTATCCCTCACCACAAACTTCTGGGACTGCTTTTGCTGCCAGCTCCAGCACTTGTCTGCCCCTGCAGTGAGCCAGTGCAGGAAATTAACTGTACAAAGAAATCCAAAAGACTTGGTGTTGATGTAATAAGCTAAACCAGCTCTCCATGGGGTCAGCCAGGAAGGAGCAGTGAGACCATGGCCACTCTGGCTTAGGCCAGCTACACAGCTCCTCAGTCTCCCCATCCCTGCAGTGGGAATGGGCTTCGCAGTCTCAGGAAGAGAAGGTACTACTCCTGGTATCTTCGCTTTGGCCTCAGCACTGCTGGTATTTTAATAAGCTGTCAGTCTGGGAAGGGATAGCTGCTCTCCATAGGGATGGAGAAATTTGAGTTAATTTCTTGCTTCAAGAGCTAGAGCAAGCAGGAATACTTCAAAAGTGCTCTTACAATCACTAAATTTTTGTGTAATGAAGGCTGGTTTGGGATTTTATACAAAAATTCAATGGCAAAATGCAATTATGAGGGAATTAACAACCTACTGACTTTTTGTGCCTTTTTTTCTGTAGGAGCAGCAGCGAATTTCAGTTTGTTCAGCTGGATTAAGTCTGTTTTGACCACCCCATGCAGGTTGGTACCAATCACATGGCAGAGATCGAGGCACTGATCCACTAATGTGTGTAAACGTTGACTGTCTTCTTACCTTGAGCAGTCCATCTTTCCCTGGATGGAGACTCAAAGTTTTTAGTTAATAGTTATTTGTTTCAGTTAGCCCAGTGGCTGTGGTAATGGTGGAACAGGCAGTCACATTCCAGGTGGGTTGAAGTTTCAGAGAGGAAATTTGGGAGGAAACAGCAATAGCTGCAGGGGAAAATACAATAAACAAGGTCTTCAGTGAAGGAACCATTCAGTGTTGAATTTCTGAGGGATTGCATCTGCTAACACCTTAGAGTTTTCCTTCCCGGAAGACCTCAGGGTTTTTGCATGGTTGGTTATTAACTGGTTTTGTTAATTCATTTTAATCCTATTAATTATTAATTCAATAGAGTCTGGATTCCCATGGGAGTAGTGACCATCTCTGCTGCTTTACAATTCAGTGGGATATGCGGTTCTTAATCTGTTTGACTTCTTTTCTGTTGCAATGGGGGAACACTGTACTGAAGACCATAAAATACAAGTGCTGTGCAGTAGGTGTGCAGATTTGGTGGCTTAAGATAAATGAAGGTCCAGATATTTAGGCACATTGGCACATGCCTATGCTTTCCTTTCCAACTCTTTGACCACAGTCCCTATAACACAGTCACATGTCTTTGGTGGCAGAGGCAGCTCAAGGGACTAAGCTGAAGGCAGTGGGGTCTCTCTTAGATCCCTGTGGATGTAGGTCCATGATGCAGCTAAGAACAGACAAGCTGGATCTCCTACATCACTGCCCAGCACTGTCTCTACCAGACATGGGAAACTCTGCAAGAGTGGCATGAGGACACACCTGTCCAGCAGACCTCTTTACCCATGAACAACTTCCTTCACACAGCTACTGCTGCCTCTCATGGCAATGTCTTAAAGCTGCAGAATTCTCCGTTAGCAGGATAAGAGCCCAAGACAGATAAACCACACAGAACAGGAGTGAGGGTGTCCTGAGGGAATGCACTATGCTTTTCGTGTCTCATTTAGAAAGAGGGGTTGTTGCCCATCTTTCCCCCTTTCACAACGTCTGCTGCATTTGTAATGTGAGCCAGGGCCAGGAGTGAGGAGGTGAGAATGGGAACAGGGTGCACGGGACTGTGCTGGAAGCACTGTCAGAATTACTCATTGCACAGTGAGTCAGACCCTGCTGCATTGTATTCCAGACTTGGCTGTCCTGTTCCACCTCGGTGTGCAGCTGGATCCATTGCCTATAATTTAGCTCAGTGCAGCTATGATGATGGAGCATTTTTCCTCCTGGTCATCCCTTGGTGCTTCTCAGCCCTGTCTTTTGCCTGTTGTCAGATGATCCCCATGGGAGGCTGGCTGACTTCCCAGGGAGGTGGTCGGGCATGGGAAGGGAGAAGCTAGTCCACCTCTGCTACGCTACAAGAAACTGCATTGAAATCACTTGCACATTTCTCCTAAGCTTTGTTTTCTTGAAATCCAAGCAAGACATAACAATGAATTAAAGGTAAAAAAGTCATCCTACTTAAATGCAAGAGTGATGAAAACAACCATGGGTCCTTGGTACTTCCAAATTCTTAAAGAGTGGATGGGGCCCTTGACTACCTGATCTAGTGCCCAATTTAGTGATTGACACCTCTGCCCATGGCAGGGAGTTGGAAATGACCTTTGAGGTCCCTTCCAACCCAAGCCATTCTATGATTCTATGGAAGAGGGCCAGGTCATCGGATCAGCACTTCCAGTTGTGACTTGCAAGTGTGTAATAAGAGTTTCTTAAACTTTGCCTCTGAGAACAAGAGGCTGAAGGAAAGTCTCCTCTTTTTATTTCAAAGAGGAAGAGAGTTTCCGGCCTGCGTGGTTCCCAAAGTAATTGAGATGTACACAAAAGCTTCAGAAGCTGTAAGAAGGGTATTTTTCATTAGCAATGGGTCATGCTCCTTCCTTTCCTGCACAGTGTTAAAAGTGGCAGAGCCCAACATCTGGAGCAACTCCAAAGAGGAAATGTATATTTGCTAAGAAAATGTATATTTTTTGAGTATTTGCTGGGGGGGGGGGGGGGGGGGAGGGGGAGTATGGTCACTGTGTGCCTTCTAGGAAAAATGTTTCCAGATTAGCTGGAAGGGCAGCAGGAGAGATGTAACCCTTCTCAATATGCCCTGACTGCCCCTGTTGGTGCTATTTTTGGTCTCTTCTGTTTTGGTCTTTTCTGTTTTCATGGCTGCTAAAGGCAGACACTGGGTGATGCGAGTGCTTCTGCTTCTGTGCCTGCAGGAGGAGGCCGTCGCCGAAGGAGCAGATCGTGGTGACCCCAGCCTTTGCGACAGTGGGCATGGAGACCAGGCAGCTCACCGAGGAGAACGAGGACTTTGCCTCCAGGCACCGCTACCACCAGTCCTCCCTCATCAGCAGGGAAGAGTTCAGGAATCAGTTTCAGTAAAGTTGGAGGATGAAAAAAAAATAGCAAGCTGTCATTTCAGAAAGGGCTGATGAGTGCCAATCACTGCTGACATGCCTTGTGAAATACTTGAATGTGTATGGAAAGGATGTGATGGATGTGATTAGTTATTTACATGCTTGAGGCTTGTTTATACAAGCTACAACATGGCCAAGTTACAAATCTTAACCTAAAGGGGAAGAAAAAAAAAAAAAGAAACCTGCCTGTTGTGCAGGGGTTTTCTACCTCAGAGTTTCAGTGACCAAAGCACTTTAAGGTGTTAGATGATAGGCCAGAGTCAGTGGCAAGTGCAAGAGGATTATGAAATATATTCATAACTGGAATTGAACCTGTGCCTTTATAAGCAGCAGTGCAGCATGGTGAAATCTACTGTGAAACGGTGATGTGATGCCTTAGAAGCTTTGCATAGTGGCTTCCCACATCCTTTCTGAAACAAGAGCCAGGACCTGAGAACACAGCTATCTCCAAATAGCACATCTCTTGGCTAAAAGGAGAGATGATTCAGAAGTGCCTTAACAAGATACATTTAACCTTATTTTGCTAATTCTGCTTAAAGCTCATCCTGTATTGAGCTTTATACATGCATACGCGTAAGTAAAAGGGGGGGAATGGGGGAAGGAATCACTGCCTCTCCCTTCTTGTAATCTCTGATCACTTCAGCCATTAAATTATTTATTTCTCCTTCTGTGCAATAAAATTGTCAGCATCGGGACACGTCTCACAGCACTAAATTAAGAGAACAACTAAATAACAAAGGCAGGGGCATCGGAACTGGGTGGGCTTTGAGGTCCCTTCCAGCCCAAGTCATTCTGGGATTCAGTGAGACAAGCAGCTCCTGCCATTGGGTACCATAGTTTTGGCCAGCACTGTTGGGAAGGTTGCTGTGTCTGTCTCAGAGCATGTTGTGCCTGGGCTTTCTGGTCCAGTTTCATTGCTGCTGTTGTATGCTGTAAGTAGAGCAGCTTTTCTTCTTAGTGCTTGAGAAGGGGTGTGCTGATCTTTCCTGGGGTGTTGGCTTTGACATTGTTAACTGCAAGGGTGGAGGGAAGCCTTGCTTCAGGAGTCCTGAAGGTTGGTTTGGGACTCAGCCCTGAGCATTATCTGTCCAGAACAAGTTGCAACTCAGTTACTTTCATAATGAAAAATCCTTCTATCTTTTAAGCTGTATGAGCTCTGTTATCATCTGTAACCAACCTTCCTTTGAGTTCGTGGAATTGTTTTTAAGAAATGAGGGTGTGAAAACATTTGTTTTTACGCGGTATGTAGATGTAAAACCTTTTTTTCCCTGAGCCTCCAGCTATAAGTTGCTACATGTAGGTTTGACAGATTCATTTGCAAAAGGCACAGATGCAGAAGGCATTGAAGGATAAATTATTTGCCTTGTGGTCTTGCCTAGATGTTCATGGTGTGTTTGTGATGCCACAACATTAATAAGTGTCCAGGAATTAGAGTCATCTGCCTCAAAAACAGTGCAACACAAATAGAGTTGAGAATGGGCAGGGGAAAAGTCAAGTTTTGTTGTGATATGGGCATTAAGTGACAGCTCCTTGCTGCTAATTGCCATTACTCTGGTTCTGTCTGAATGTCCCATTGGGATTCTGCACTGGGAGAACCAAACCTCTTCAATCTATAGCTTTACCCAAATCCCTATACTTCTTTCCTCTCTTCATAGCTCTCTCGGTCAGCTTTGGGTTCCCTTGAGTGTTTTCATTGTGCACATTGGCCAGAAAGTCACATGCTTGGGTTGGTCACTTGCAGATAATTGTGATTCAGGAGAAGCAGCAAACAAAACACCTGAAATAAATAATGATGCTGTGCCTGAGATGTGACAAGGGGGCTCTCTGTGGCCAGCAAGGCAGTATGTTCTCAGCCCTGTGCTTCTGATTCTGGATCAGCTTCCAGCATTATACCTGCACTTGGACAGGATGTGCTGAAGCACAGTGGCCAGCATAGGGTTATCATTTAAATTAGTAGGGAAAGGAGGTTCTTAGAATTATTGCCTTTGCCTAGTGAATTCTAGAATGGGCAATTACTACCATAAATAGAAGGAGAAAAAAATGCAGTGAACCAGTAAGCATAGGAAGTCCATAAAAAAATGGGTGTGCAGTGAACTCACTAATATTCCTTCTCAGAGCAGGCTGAGAAGGGTCCTGAAAGAGAGGAGTCAGAGGTTCTGGGTTGCTTCAGATGGATCGAAATAGCTGACTGTTTTTCCCCCAAAAATACGGGGTTTATTTCTGACAGGAATCAGAAAGGAACATTTTAGACCTGGTGGCATAAACCTGCTGTGAGGGATGAAAGGAGATCACAAGACCCACATCCATCCTGACCTCCAAATGTCAAGTATCTGGAACGAGCTGCTTCCAAGGGAGGCACAAGGCAAATGTTCCCTGTATAAAGAAATCAATTGAGCACTGCTACCCCTGGAATGCAGAGAAAAATGTTCAGATGCTGAGTGTCTTTTGGATGATTGGGATCCATTAATAGATAGCTTACAGCATCGAAAGGAGATGGGGAAGGTAATTAATTACTGGGTTAGGAACTATCTTTCTACTTCGGAAACTTGGGACTTTTAATAACAAATTCCAGGAGTAGAAACTATTCACTTTGTACCTTAATTCATCATCAGCTGAAAACTTGTCTGAAGTTTATGAGCCTGCTCCAAGCTCGGGACAGATCTGGGCTATGTTTCAAGCGAGCTGCAGGAGTTCTGTGCTGTGGCTGGGAAGGGTTCCTGGAGAAATGGCCAGGAGTGACCATCGTGCGCAATCCTAGTGAGGAGTTACGGAGGTTCCTCTTCTGTCAAAATTTTTTGTGCTTTTCTGTGATTTCAGGACAAAACAATGCAGAACCTGACAAATCGGGCTGTGTGCCTGCAGCCCCTTGGGCTGGGATGTGGAAAGCAAGGTAAAACAAAACCAAACAGTGTTTTTCTTCCCCTGGCATAGAGTGATAGTGGCATTCAGTTGATCAGCATATACCATCCATCATGCTTTACGTAGTTATGTTAGAGTTGGGGCTTAGGAATACTGGGGTTCCTCATGAGCTGACTTCTTCAGTGCCGGGATATCCCTTAGTGTAGTGGCAAAGGTGGGAATGAAATAACGTGGCAGGAAAATGTGGTAACTTCACCTTTTCAGCCACAAAGCCTTGGCAAATTGGCCATCTGGTGGGGAAGGGAGTGCATTTGGGGGGTACAAAAAAGCCATCAGTGTTTCCTCCCCAGATGCTTGTGATTGAGCCACGACAGTGAGGGGACAGTTTGGCTGTGATGGTAAATACTCCTTTGATGGCATTGGCTCCCATTGCGGTGCTTTTGTCCTCTTGGTGACCACAATGGCAAGAGGATGGGTGTAACATCCCCATGGCCACCTCCTGATGTGTGATGCTTTTAATGGGAATTTTGGAAAAAGCTGCCTGCCTGGGAGGGCCAATAGGAGTCTGCCATGCTGGGTCTTTAGTGGGATCCACTATGGCCACAGGGACATGGAAGCATTTGGTCTGGCCCTGTTTTCTTCACGGCTGTGTGTTCAGCGTTGTTTATTTTGTGTCTGCATGCTGCTGGGTTTGTTCTCGCTGCGCCTGTTGGGTAAAACAGTAGGAAGAATTTATTGAGGCTTTTTGGAAAAGCACTTGATACCGCACTTCCTGCCTGTTGGATTTACAGCTTCAGAGGATGAGGAGTACTTATAGGAATGGGGAGCCATTTATTTCATATAAAAAGATATCTCCAAATGTTTGAACTCCTGCCCTGCATCTTCCGCCAAGGTATCGGAATACTTCTGAGCTCCTCACACAAGCTTTAACTCATGGCAGTGCATTCCTTGGCTGGGTGTTGGTTACTCTGTCTTCTGGGTTAGGGCTCTTTCTGTGATGTGTTCCATAGGAAATAGGTGGGTCCGTTGACAAAGGCTGATGCAGCCTGGGGAGTTGGTGGATGCTCTGTCCCTGGAGACACCTAAGGTCAGGCTGGAGGGGGCTGTGAGCACTGGTGGAGCTGTAGGTGTTGCTGCTCATTGCAGGGAAATTGGACCGGATGGCCTTTAGGCGTCCCTTCCAACTCCAGCAATACTGTGATTCTGTGTCCGATGCAGCTCCTTGCCAGCAGTTCCTGGGCCACTGAGATGTGGCCCAGCTGGCTGTGATTTGTTGGTTCACTTCAGAGAAACCTGGAATAGCAGGGAGCAAAATATCCCCGTGTCTAGGTACTAATAACTGGAAAAGCCAGTGTAGTTTGCATGCTTGTGTGGGCTCATCAGTGCCACCTTTTGGGTGGAAAGAAGCCTTTGAGAGTTTGGGTTTCTCAGTGAACTGTTTGCTTATGCTTCTGGGGAAGGGGGAACAGGGGAGCTGGGGACTATGGACCGAACTAGCATTCTTTGTCTTGTGTTTGGAGGATTGCCATTTGTTGCTGTGGTTTGAAGCGCTGGATTCTGCTTGGGTGGAAGTGGCTCGTGGAAATTCAGCCTGAATCTGAACTAGCTGAGGGGGGAAAGCAAAGGATGTCTGGGCATCCCATGGAGGAGACGGGGATAGGATGGGTTGGGGTCGTGGCGGCAGTGAACTGTGGGCTGGGGGCTGCCAGCAGCGGCACGGAGCAGTGCTGTGGTGCGCACTGCACACAGTATAGCCAACAGTGTGGAGTTATGAAAGGGAATTTCAGAACAATAAAGGGAAATCCTCTGCCTCCTGTGCAGCCCAGCCTGGGAAATTGACTGCCGCGAGAAACTGCTGCTGGAATTTAAAGGAGAGCGGGTCCGCTTTATAACCAATAAAAGATTCGTAGTCCTTTGGCAAGGACTTGCCGCAGCCTCGGTGGGAATGGAGTATCAGGGCCACTTAACGCTTGCCGCGCTCAGCCGGAAAGAAACTTTCCGGTGGAGCAGCGCTGCCCGAACCCGGCCGGGTTCCGTCCGCTCCGATCAGTGGCGCAGCCCCTCCCGAGCGGGGGCACCGCGCAGCCCGAACCTCTGCAGCGGGCACGGAGCTGTCCGAGCGGGGAGCAGGCTCTGCCGACAATAGGGGACGGATAAAAATAGTGCGGAGGAGCGAGGGTTGGGGGGGGGGGGGACCGGGCCGGGCGGGGGGGCTGTGCCGAGCCGTGCGGGGCCGCGCCGGGTGATGTCAGGCTCGAGGAGGAGCCTCGGCCGCCTGCCCTTTTACTTTCGGGCGCCGGCACTTGGCCGCAGGCTGCCGCTGGCCGGGCCCCCCCCCACCGCCATGGGCACCCCGCGCTGCTGAGGCCGGACCGCGGCTGCCCCCTCCCCGGGGCAGCTGCCCTCTGCCGTTCTCCTCCGTTCCCCATCGCCCCGCTCCGGGCATGTGAGCCGCTCCCTCCAGCCTCAGCAGCAAGCCCCGCTCCCCGTCCCGTCCCCAGCGCCATGCCGGCAGCCTGCGCCCTGCTGCTGCTGCTGCTGCTGCTGGGGCTCGGGCTGGCTCCGCCGGCCGGGTCGCTGCCCCTCGCTCCCTCCCGACGCCTTCCTCCTCTTCCTCCTCCGCCGCCGCAGCCGCCTCGCAGCCGCCTCGGCCGTCCCTGCTCGCCTCCCGCCGCGGGACACGACCGCCCGGGTGAGTGGGGACACGGGGAGGGACGGTAGGTCGGGTCTTACTCCACGCGTGGGCTGCCCGAGCTGCCCTGCCCCGTGTTCTTAAGGGTGGTTCTGGTTTGCTAAGGGAACGTGCGGGGGAAGGCGTCAA